GGAGGAGGGCCACTCAGACCTCATCAGCTTCCAGCCCACGGACAGCGACCTCCCCAGCTTCCTGGAGGACTGCAACCGGGTACGGCAGCGGGTCCGCGCCCCAGGCCCCTGGGGGTGGCACGTGGCAGAGAGAGGAGGGTCCCGGGGCCCTGGTCCCTGACCCCGAGGCCATGGGCATCTCTGCTTCTTCTCCAGGCCAAGCTGCCCCGGGGCATCCACCAGGTGCGGCCCCACCTGCAGAACATCGACAACGTGCCCCTGCTCGTGCCCCTGTTCACTGACTGTACCCCCGAGAGTGAGTACTGTGCCCACGGCGCCCCGGGCAGCCTGCTCCCTTCCAGTGAGGCTGACCAGGCCTGGGGTGCCGTGAGCTCTTGAGGAGATGGGGTTCCCGTGCAGGAAGCAAAGGCTCCTGGGCCGGGAGGAGCGGGGAGCCTAGTGGGCTGGAGCCGTGGGAGTGCCCATTCGGGGAGTCAGAAGCGTCACAGGACCGGGTAGGATAGTCACAAAGGGAGTCCACCTCCCCGTCTCCTGTCCTGGGGGGTCTCTGCCCAGCGCCCCACGTGGGGCTCCACCTGCCTGATTTGTGACTGCCTGCCCACAGCCATGTGTGAGATGATCAAGATCATGCAGGAGTACGGGGAGGTGACCTGCTGCCTGGGCAGCTCTGCCAACCTGCGGAACAGCTGCCTCTTCCTCCAGAGCGACATCAGGTCCGGGGCACCCCCTCTGCCTCCCGGGTTGGGTTTCCGTGGGGCTGGGGCCTATAGGATGGCCGATCTTGCCCTGGTTGAGGGGACCGAGGGACCTGGGCCTGGTGGGGAGAAGAGGGAGCAGGCGCATGCCCCGTGCTGCGGGAGATGGGGCCTCTCGAAGTGCAGCTGATGGGCACGCTCCCCCCTGTGCTGCTCAGCATCGCCCTGGACCCCCTGTACCCGTCCCGCTGCTCCTGGGAGACCTTCGGCTACGCCACCAGCACCAGCATGGCCCAGGCCTCGGAGGGCCTGTCTCCCCTGCAGCTCTCAGGGCAGCTCAACAGCCTGCCCTGCTCCCTGGCCTTCCGCCAGGAGGAGACCATCAGCATCATCCGCCTCATTGAGCAGGTGGGGCGCGGGCTGCGGTGGGAGCGGGCGCTGGCGGGGCCTGCTTGGGCGGGGGGTATCATGACGCAGGATCTGTCTGGGTCGCCTCCAGGCAAAGCTTTCCCGGGCAGCTTGGTTCGCAGGAGCTTTGGGGCGTCCGGCTCCTGGCTGAGGTTTGTCAGCTGCAGGGTCTGAGCGAGGCCACCATCTGTCCTCCCGGTCCCTAGGCGCGGCACGCCACCTACGGCATTCGCAAGTGCTTCCTCTTCCTGCTGCAGTGCCAGTTGTCTCTCGTGGTCATCCAGGTGAGCGGGCAGCACAGACAACGTCCCCTCCCACCCGCTTCTTTGCTCAGGGCCAGTCAGTCTGAGGCCAGTTGGGAGGCTGGGAGGATGCAGCACAGTCTAGGGGTCCCCAGCGCCCCTCTGACACCGCTGGGCTTTTGGAGGTGACCCCTGAGCAGAATAGTGTCCCTCTAGCCCCAGCTCCGCCAGGCCAGGACGTGAGCCCAGGCAGCCTTGGACTCCCAGTGTCCTCCCCTTTGTCAGAATCTAACAGTGCTTCCTGGCTCTCCTGGGCCAGTTCCTCTCTTGCCTAGTCCAGCTGCCACCACTGCTCAGTACCACCGACATCCTGTGGCTGTCCTGCTTTTGTTATCCTCTGCTCAGGTGAGACGCTGGCCCTCCCTCTGTGCCAGGCAGGCAGGGTGGGAGGTCACCCAGCACCCAGGAGCCCGGGTTCAGGGACCCCTGCTCAGCGCTCAACCCCTCTCATAGAGGGAGAGAGAGAGAGAGAGAGAGAGAGAGAGAGTGTGTGTGTGTGTGTGTGTGTGTGTGTGTGGTGGTGGATGTCCCTTTGTCCTGTCCCCCCTGTCACCAACCCTCACCGCACTCCCCATCCTAAGAGGCTCCTCACGTGGGAAGTAGGAGACAGAGGGTCACGTGGCCGCCCTTCACCGGTCTCTGCTTTTCAGCATCTCTCTGCTGGGGAAGCCCCCCCACAGCTCCGTCATGTCTGTGGCCACAGGGAAGAACCTCCACTCCATCCCCAAGAAGGTAGGCGAGGCGGAGCCGGGGAGCCTGCGCCTTGCCCGAGGGGCTGGTCCTGGGGCAGGGAGTGGTCAGGATGCGGCCTCCATCACACCAGAGGGAGGTGGTGGGACAGAGCTGGGAAAGGTCCTCGCCGGGCGGGCAGCCCCCGCTCCGGCCCCCGTCCGGCTGCCCCTCACTGAAGAGCCTGTTGAATCCGAGTGTCGAGTGCCGGAGGGGCTGTGGCCTCTGGAGTGACGGGCCTTTCCCCCCCCCCCCCCCCCCCCCCCCCCCGCAGACCCAACACTACTTCCTGCTCTGCTTCCTGCTCAAGTTCAGCCTCACCATCGGCTCGTGCCTCATCTCCTTCGGCTTCACACTGCAGAGCTTCTGTGACAACTCCCGGGCCCGCAACCTCACCAACTGCTCCTCCATCGTGCTGCCCAGGTGAGCCCCGCCCCGCCCCCACTCGCCCGGTCCGCCCCAGGGCCCGGAGGGCTGAGCGCACACCTTGCTTTGGCAGCCACGCCGACACGGCTCCGGCCTGGTTTGGTGACTTTGCCAACGGGCTGCTTCTGGCTCAGAAGCTCACTGCCGCCCTGATCGTCCTGCACACTGGTGAGGGCTCCCGGAAGGGACCAGTGGTGGCTGGTGGGGTGCCCCGGGGACCAGGCCTTGGCCGTGGCAAGTCTGACAGGCCCCGCCCCCCGCCATCCCGTTTCCTCCAGTCTTCATCTCCGTCACCCACGTGCACCGCACCAAGCCGCTGTGGAGGAAGAGCCCCCTGACCAACCTCTGGTGGTCCATGACGGTGCCCCTGGTGTGAGTGGCCATAACCCGGGTGGGTTTGGGCCGGAGTTGAAGGGTGCCCTCCGTGGGCTACTGCTGTGCTGAGGAAGGGAGAGAAGGGAGAGAAGAGCCCGGCTGACCGGCGCTGCCCCTCCTGCAGGCTGCTGGGGCAGGTGGTCCAGACGGCGGTGGACCTGCAGCTGTGGACGCACAGGGACAGCCGCGTCCACTTCGGCCTGGAGGATGTGCCGCTGCTGACGTGGCTGCTGGGCTGCCTGTCCCTGGTCCTCGTGGTGGTCAGCAACGAGATTGTGAAGCTGCACGAGATCCGGTGAGCCACCGGCAGGGCGCTCCCTCTGGGCCCGTCACCCCCCGGGCACCGTCCCCTGCTTCCTGGCTGCCCATCCCTGCCTCCTGTAGCCTGCCCTGACCCCATTTAACCTCCTGCCCCTCCCCTCCCCAGGGTCCGGGTCCGTTACCAGAAGCGACAGAAGCTGCAGTTTGAAACCAAGCTGGGCATGAACTCGCCCTTCTGAGCCATTGGCCACGGTGGTCACGGTGGCCCTGGTCCCCGGGGGCCGATCCCGGACCCACTTCTGAGTCTGGGGAGCTGGTATCATGAATGGTTCAGGGTTTGCTCTTGTGCCCATGGCACTGAGGCCCCGATCCCCGTGCCAGACCCGGCTGTCGTCTTGACCCCAGGGCTCCTGTGCAGTGAGCCAGGGCCGTCAGGACAGCCGGCTCTTCCGGCCACACCAGGGGCATTCTGGAATGTGTGACCTCATGTGCTTAGCAGAGGGGCTCCCAGCCCACCCCTCCCGTGGGCTGTCCCTCTTCAGGGTCCACTCAGCCCGCGCCCCGAGCGCTGGGATCCCGGGCGGGGCTGTGGGCGTGGGGCCAGGGCCTCGGCCGTTTTGAAGGAACACTGGCAGCAGCTCTCAAGGTCGCCGTTGAAGGTCAGGGTGAGGGTGCAGCCTCCCTGTGCCCTCCATCCTGTCTTCCTGGGACAGGGGCCTGGATGTGGCCAGGCACCCCCCACCCTGTCGGGAGCCTCACAGGGACCTGAAGTGAAGGCGCCCCTCACCCTGGAGCCGCTCCTGTGCCTGCCTCGAGCTGGCCACAGTCGGTCTCGGGGACATGGCCCAGGGCTCCGTCCAGTCCCTGCAGAGTTCTCCCGGGAGAATCTTTTTATTGGTGTATATTTTTTACTGGAAATGAGCCTTTTAGGAATGAAAGTAGACTGTATTAAAGTTTATAAATTGTGTAAGAAAGACCGGTGGCTGGTCCCTGAGGCAGCCACTGAGGGGAGGAGGGGAGGGCCCTAGCCTCCCTCCTGCCGGCGACAGCCCCGGGCTCCGGCGAGATCCGCGGCACAGACCCAGACACAGGCGATCATGTGGAATGACACTTCATTGGCGTTAGTTGGGGTAGGAGGTTAATTTACAGAGCCAGGGCCCGCCCATCAGGCCAGGCTGGGCAGTGGGCACTCTTGCTGTGGCGGAAGCCCCTCCCCACTGCGTCCTCTCAGGCAGTTATAGAATAAATTCCATTTAAAATATATGCATTTCTCTCTGCTTAAAAAATAACATTTACAGTTGAAAAAGTTTGGACATTGGGGGGTCTGTTAGTCCCACTGCCCCCACCCCGCCAGCTCTGCCTCGCTGCGGGCAGGCAGGGAGGAGCCGGTCGGGCCGGGGCACCGCCAGCGCGCAGGCCCCGGTGGCTTATTTACATGTCCTATGTACACCCGTGGGGTCCTGGCCAGACACGGCTCCTCCAGCCGCTGCTCCGGACAGCACCGCAGGCGGCAAGAGGACCTTGGCACGAGAACTTGAGATACTGGCGGGGGGGTCTGCCACCACCTTTCTCCCTGGGCGGAAGCTCTTACCAGGGTCCCTGACCGAAGGGTAGGGGGCTCTTTGCTCAGGTTACACAATGGGTGGGGTTCCGCTGAGATATCAGTCTGACAAGCCCCTCGGCCCCCGCTCCCCTGGAACTGCAATGCTGACAGCCGCTGGCCCGGAGCAGCAGGAGGGACCCGCCGGGGTGGTGGGAGCCTCTGTGCTGGGCCAAGGCAGTGGATGCCGCAGGCGGGTCCAGCTCAGTCCAGCATGGCATCCAGCTGGTCAGCCAGAGCGTCAAACATGGTGCTGATGTCATCCAGGATGTGCTTGGTGGAGGTGCTGGGGGGGCTGCGGGGAGAGCACTGGGTCAGACCAGCCGGTAATCAGATCGCCCGCCAGCCCGGGGCGAGGGCTGGTGCCGAGCGCCCGGCTGGTGCCAAGTGCTTTCCAAGAAGGAGTCGCTGTCCTTCCATACACCGCGCCCGGGGCTCAAATGACCGCCCAGGCTCAGGTGCCTCCAAGCGGCAGCAGCCAGCTTCCCTGCAGGTCAGACCCGGGTGACTCCCAAGCTCTGGGCTCCTCCCGTTCCAACCGGGGGTCCCCAGACTGAGGATCTGCCTGAGGTCCCTGCCCCCCAACAACCCCATGCCGCCACCTTCTCTCCCCGCCGGCAGCCCTCACCCCTCTCGCTCCTCAGCACCGATGCTCTTCTCCGCGGCCTGCAGTGCGGCTGCCAGGGACGAGCTGGTCCGCTCCAGCCTCTGCTGGGCCTGGCCGGAGCCCACGGCCGCCGTGCTCTCGGGACGGGGCGGCGGCACAGGGCGTGGGCCGAGCCGAGGAGCCAGCTTAGGGCCAGAAAACGCCAGCTGGGTGCAGGCCACGGACACAGGCTTGGGAGCTGTTCCTGCAGAGACAGGTTGGCTTGTGACTCAAGTGGGCAGGGCACAACCCCTGCCAACGTGCCCGGCGCCCGCAGGCCCTGCCTCATACCTGCTCCGGGCACCTTGATGAGGGCAGCGGGCGGAGCGGGGGGCTCTGGCTCCCCACGCTGCCGATGGGCTGCCGAGCTCTCCGGAGCTGGCCCGGGGCAGGGGGGCTTTGCGAGCTGGGTGGGAGGGCTGGGAGGACGAGGGGCTGGAGCTCCTGGAGTGGGAAGGCTGCTAGGGTCCGGCTGAGGAGGGCTGGGAGGAGCCACAGGGGACTCGCTGGGGGGCTGGGAGGGCAGGGGGATGGAGGGGACGGAGGGGCTGGGCGTGGCGGTGGCCACTCCGAAGGCCAGAAGCGCCGTCTGCAGCGGCTCCCTCTCCCGGCATTTGGGCCTCCGCTTAACAGTGTCTGACTCTGTGAGGTTGAAGTCGAGGCCGGTGGGCACGGGCGTCTCTCGGGACGGGGGGCCGGCCGGCTTGGGCCGCTGTTTGATAGTCAGGTTGCCCTCCTCGGCGAACGGGAGCCCCTCCCCCGAGCTGCCCCGGGACGGGGGTGTCCCCTCGGGCCCCGGGTCCTCCTCTTCCTCCGTGTCTGAGGCGGGGCCCGCTGGGGCAGGCGGGCCCGGGGGCTCTGACGGGCCAGTCGGTTCGCTCAGTGTTCGCCTTCGGGGCCCAGGGGGCCCCTCTTTGGGCCCCAGGCTTCCATCCGGTGGAGGGGGCTCCGGGGTGGGGCCGGAGACGGAGCTGAGGCGCTTCGGAGGCGGGGGCGGGGGCCCTTTGCGGCGGGCCCGGAGGGCGAAGGACTGGCTGCGGGGAGCCCCCCGGGCTGGGGTCTGGCTGGGGCTGGTCCGGGCCAGGGCACTGCGTCCTGGCCGCCGGGTGAGGGTGGCGTAACTGCCCAAGGCACTGCCCACCGGCCCTTCGGCCTCCCCCTCGGCCTCCCCCTCGGCCGGGCCCGGGCGGCTCAGGCTGTGGGACCTACGCTTGGGCCGGGGAGGGTCTGGGGGAGCAGCAGGGGGGCCAGCCAAGTACGAGAAGGCTCGGGGCGCCCCTGGAGGTGGCCCTGGGGCTGGGCTGGCGGGTGAGCCCTGAGGGTACATGAAAACATAAGCAGGAGGCCCTTGGCCAGGAAGCGGGGAACAAAGCTTAGGGGGCCGCTCTGTGCCCTCCGGAAGGTTCCTTTCCTGTGGGGTGCCGGGGTCCCCACTACTGGGCTGAGGGGCAGGCTGCTCCTGTGAGTGGCCAGACCCTCGTGAGCGAGCGCCAATGCTCTCCTGGCTCGGGGAGCGGGGAGGGGGCAGGGGGAGTGGCTCGGGGCCACCCCCGACCATGGCTGCCTGTAGCTCTGGGCTCAGCTCGCTGCCCTGGAAGGTGAGGAGGCGGGGGCCGGCCGCGGCAGGTGCGTCCCCGTTCTCCAGCCCCTCGATGGCCATCAGCTCCGGGCCCCTGGCCGGGCGGCAGCCGCCCTCGCCGGGGGCCTCCCCGTGCGGCAGGCCCCGCCGCAGCTCGGCCAGACGCTTCACCCCCAGCATGAGCTTCTTCTGGTGACCTGAGGGGGTGGGCACGGGGGCAGGGTGAGCGGGGCTGCACATGGTCACCCCGTTCCCCTCGAACCCCGTCCTCTCTTCTGGGCCTGAGCCCTGAACACGTTCTGAAGACCCGAGGCGGCGGGTGCCCGGCCAGAGGCCCAGCGCGGCCGGCTCACCGAGCTTGTTGACGCCGATCTCCTGCAGCTCCTCCCAGGTGAGGTCGGCCACCAGCGCCATGGAGTCGTAGCCGCTGCCCAGCAGCCTCTTGTGGTACTGCGGCAGCCCCAGCGCGCACAGCCACTCCAGCAGGTCCGCCTGCAGCACAGCGCGGTCAGAGCAGGCTCCTGCCAGCCGCGGCCCAGGCCAGGAGGCGCCACGGCCACGGCCACGGCCACGGTCGAGGGTGGAGCTCGTGCCGCCCACTCACCGGGATGTAGTTGGGCAGCCACTCGGTGATGCTCAGCTGGGCGATCTCCGAGGCAATCTTCTTCCTGTGCCCGGGCTTGGTCACCCCGATGGCCGTCAGGTCCTGCCCGGAGGGCGGGGGAGCCGTTAGCCCCTGCTCTGCCTGCGGGGCCCTCCCCGCCCTCCCGCAGGGACACCCACCTCAGGCGTCATGCGGCTGATGGTGGGCACGTCGTAGCCGGCCTGCAGGAAGTGGGCGGTGTAGCCCTCCAGCTGGAACTCACGGAGCCAGTTATAAATGGCCTGGGCGTCCTGAGGGCGGGAGAGGGAGGGCTGACGTCAACGAGCCGAGGGTGCTGAGCAGGGACTTTAGTCCATACTGAGGTCCATGCGACCCCACCCTGGGCCCCCGGCCCCTGCCCAGCGGGGACCGCACCTTCCCCTCCAGCAGCTGCTCCGGCCGCACGTCTTGGGGGAAGAGCTGCTCCCCGGAGTGGCAGTTGGCCAGAGGGCGGTGGCTCAGGCTGCCTGTACGGAGGGACAGAGTGGAATTGGGGGGCAGGAGGAAGGGGTGCCAAGTCCTCAGCCCTCACCTGCACCCCTCCCAGCCCGTCCAGGCCCATTTACCTTTCCTACCTGCCAGGGGCGGGGGGTGCAGGCCTGGCAGCCCCGGGTCCTCGCCGGCAGAGGGAAGCGGCTGCACACAGGGAAGGAGCGACTCAGCGTCCGGGGAAGTGGCAGCAGGAGGGGGGCCCTGCTCCCGCCACACCCCCTCCCTCGTACCTGGGCGTTCTCGATCAGGAGCCCAGGGCCGTGGCCGTTGGTGCCCTCGGAACTCTGCCCGCTGCCAGCACTGCGGATACTGCCCACACTGCCCTCGCTGCCCACACTATTCCTGTCACCTGCTGGAGAGGCAGGAGCAAGGGGGTCAGAGTCCCAGTTGGCCCTGCCGACAGCTGACTGGCAGTCAGACGCCCACCCTGGTGCCAAGCTGCCCCCCAGGAGGATGTACCTGGGCTGTCTGGGCTGAGGCCCACCCGAGGGAGCTGGCCATAGGTGAGAGGGTGCAGGGAGTCGTCGGCAGGGGGCTGTGGTGTCCGAGAGAAGTTCGGGCGCAGGGGTGTGGGTGCAGAGGGGAGGCGGGGCGCGAGGATGCCCACCCGCTTGCTGACCACCTCGACGATGCCAGGGGGGAAGTAGCCCACGCGGTCCGTGCCCCGCTGGCTCTCGTGGATGTGGCCCTTCCAGCGGCCGTCAGGATGCTGCTCAAGCACCTGTGGCGAATGGGGGCCGGGGAGGCAATGGGTACTTCCTGCGTCAGGCCAGGGCAGGCGGCCAGCCCTGTCGCTGCGGCCCCCTGCCCCCAGGAAGCCGGTCTCTGATGCACAAGCCAGCCCACAGTGCTGCCCCGGCGTCCTGGCATCAGCCCGGCTGACAGCCCGGCTGCCCTGCTTGCTAGCTATGAGCCTGGGAAGTCACAGCCGTTTCTCTAAGCCTCTGCAGAGGGAGAGGGGACAGCATCCTCCTCCCCGGGCTGGAGAGAGATCAGCGGTACAGCTCCTGTCAGACCTCGGCTCGGAGCCTAACCGCAGGAGGTCCTGCCAGGGAAGGGACAGTGACCCTGGTTCGCAAAGGAACGCCTGCGCCAGGGCCTCACCGTGATGACGTCCCCGGCCCGGACGTTGAGGGCCGTGGGGTCGTGGAGGTTCCAGAAGTCCTTGAGTGCTCGGACCTTCAGGATCCCCGAGGCCTCTGGGAGGGGAGGAGGACAGGTGTCAGCCTGGTGCTCGGACGCCTTCCTGCCCCCGTTGGCCCCTCAGGCGCCTCCCGGGCCCCTGCCTCCTCTTCCTCCCCCCCCACAGCATTCCCTCCGACGGCCCAGCCCAGGAGTGCGACTCCACTCCTCTTCCTGCACCCCCTGGACAGAGGCCCCGGGCTGGGTCTTACACATGCACGCACGCACACACACACACACACGCACACACATGCACGCACGCGTGCGCACACACACATACACACGTGCGCACACACGCGCGCACACGCACATGCACACGCGCGCACACACACACACGCACACACACACACGCACGCACCCCGCAGCAGCTGCTTGATCTCCCGGCTGGCCTGGGAGGTGGTGAACTGATTCACGATGTCCAGGGCCGTCTGGTTGTACGTGTTCCGAATGTTCACGTCCACGCCGCCCTGGGGACACAGTGCGGGTGAGCGTGCCCTGCGCAGCTCGCCGGTCACTCCCACAGCCCTCACCGCGCCAGGAGGCAGGTGCTGTTCCGTGTGTCACAGGTGAGGAAGTGGAGGCTCAGGGAGGGTCAAGGACCAGCTCAAGGTCCTTCGGCGAGAGGCAGAGGCGGGGCTGGACCCAGGTCCGTCTGCTCTCCAGCCTGCTGGCGGGGCCACCCCTCAGAGCCTCCGCAGCCGCCCACCCACCTCCAGCAGCAGCCGCACCACCTCGGTCTTGCCGTAGAGCGCGGCCTCGTGCAGCGCCGTGCCCGTCTTGGTCTGGCGGTTGATCTCGATCCCCGCCCTCAGCAGCTGCCTGTGGAGCGGGGGGTCACAGGGCGGAGGGGGCGGGAGAGGAAGCCGGTGAGGAGGTCAGCAGGGCAGGGCCCTGAGGGAAGGGGCTGAGGAAGTGAGGGTGGGGGAGCGGCGGTACCTGATGACCTCTCTGTGGCCGTTCTTGGCAGCCAAGTGCAAGGGCGTGGTGTAGTTGGGGTCACACGGGTCCTTGGCCTCGCCCTCCAGCAGGGCCACACACAGGTGGCTGTTCAGTAGCAGCTGGGCCACCTGCGGGCGGCAGCACCAGGTAGAGCCTCCTCTTGGGATCCCCCCCCCCAGACGCCCAGAACCAACCCCCCAAGGGCTGCAGGCCTCACCTTGAGCCGCCCGAACTCGCAGGCCAGGTCCAGGGGCGTCTTCTTGGCCTTGTTGACTAGGCACGGGTTGGACTGGTGCTGGAGGAGCATTTCTGACTGGGGGCAAAGGGGAAGCCGAGTGAGGGGTGTGGCCTGGCCAGCCCCTCGGTGCCAACCCCGGCCCCCACCCCAGCACCCCTGCGGCGGGCGGCTCACGTACCACCTCGTAGTGGCCATACTGGGCAGCCAGGTGCAGCGGGATCTGCCCGTCCAGGGACGCGGCGTTGACGGCCGCTGAGGCCCGCAGCAGCAGCCTCACGGGCTCCAGCCGGCCCTGCCAGGCAGCATAGTGCAGCGGGCGCATGCCTGCCGGAGGGAAGGGGCTTCTGAGGGGCCTGGCCGGTGTGGGGTCCAGGGAGGGGACCGAGCAGGGTCTGGAGCCACGCCAGCGGGGAGGGAGACAGACCTGACGCCAGCGATGCTGGCTGCGCCTGGGCTTGGCCAGCAAGAGGTCCGGCCGTGCCCTGCCCACCATGGTGACCTCCTGACAATGACCTAATCACAACCCCCTCCCCGGATACTGGGTCGTCAGTACACGCCCCCACCCCCCAATATGGGATGGAGACTAAGAGGTGAAGCATTTGCAGGCCAGAGAAATGATGCCAACCGGGCCGGCAGGGGGCTCCGGGGTCCTCACCGTTGCTGTCCTTGATGTCCACGGTGGCCTGCGCCTCCAGCAGCAGGGCAATGAGCTCCAGGCTGCCCCCCAAGGCGGCATGGTGCAGAGCAGAGAACCTAGCGGTGGGACACACCGTGGGGGTGTCAGTGAGTAGCCCCTGCCCCCCAAATCCTGTCTTCCACACCAGACCCATCCCAGGGGCCAGCAGGGCTGGGTTACTTGCCCACTGTGGGGGGACCCCCCCCCCCGGCTGCCGTGGGAGCGCAGAGCAGCCGGGCAGCGCCATGAAAGGGCCCAGTGTCTGGGCTGAGAGGCCTGTTTGTCTGGCTGCCCCCCGGCCGGCCCCGGGGAGGGGGCCGTGGGAGCAGGAGCCTGCGAGCTCCCATCCTCCGGGGAGAAAAGGGGGCCTGGCAGGAATCTGACCCGAGGAGGCCCCTCCCCTCCCTCCCTCCCGTACAGACGGGCCCAGGGCTTCAGCAAACACACGTCTAGGGCCAAGAGAGGGGAAGGGGCTGTGGGCCCAGGCTCTCCCCCGGCCCTCCCCCACGCGGCTGCCGGAGGCCCGGGGCTCACTCACCCGTCCGCGTCCTGGTAGTTGACGTTGAGCCTCTTCGTGGAGCCGAGCAGCTCTGGGGGTCAGAGCAGGGGCGTCAGGACACCCTCGGCCACACCCTAAGCCAGGGCTCCCTCTCCCCACCTCCCAGACCCGGCTGACCTCTCGGCGAGCAGGAGAGCACCTGGCCCATGGCCCCTGAGCGCCCTGTCCCTCCGGCTCCCTCCCGCCAGGGCCACCGGCCCACCGGCTGCAGGGCAAGGAGCGCAGGGAGCAGCGGCCGCGGCGGTGGCCTGGCTCTCCTGGGCCCCTGGCCCAGCTCGTTTATAGCGCCGGGGGGCGGGGAGGGGGCACTGGCACGCCGTGCCCTCAATAGATGGGCCCACGAGCACATGGTTAGCATTCCTGCCTGAGCGGCCAAGGAGCGAGGCCCATTGTCCCGCTGGGATGGGGGCTGGGAAGGACAGGAGAGGGGCGCCAGCGGCTGGAGAGTGGAAGGGCAGATGCCAGGGCCACAGTGCCCAGCCCTACCACATCCCTGAATGGAGCATGTGGAGCAGGTGGTGCCAGACAGGCCTGCACCGTGCCCCAGCTCTGCCGCGTACCTGGCTGTTTGAGCTTGGACAAGTCCCAGAACCTCCCGGGCTCAGTGTCCTCATCTGTAGAATGGGCTGATCACAGAACCTGCCCACGTGCAGAAGATGGGAGCTATTCCCCCTTGGCACTCCCTACCCATCAGCCCTCATCAACAAGACGCTGTCCGTCAGCAAAAGCTGGGACAGCCCCGTCCTGGGCCCAGGCGGGAGGCTGCGGGGTGGCGGCGAGAGGAGCTAGTGGCCTGGGCAGGATGCTGCTTCAGCCCCGCGGGGACAGACAGGGCTCAGGTGTGTTCCATCGGGAGCCAGGGCCCGGGAGGGGGTGGTCCCTGTGAGTGCTGGGGGCAGAGGCGCATGCCTGTCACAGGGGCCCCGCCTTTTGCGGGACACACCCCTGTGGGGAGGAGGAGGCTGGCTCACCCCGGGCAGGCGGGGTGCCAAGCATGCTGGTCCAGGCCTGCCCCCGGGCCCTGGAGGGCCCCCCGAATACCCCAGCTACACAGGGCCCCCTTCCAACAGGGAGGGACCAGCCCCGAAGTGACGGGTGTGGGGCGGGAGGCAGGGCACAGCCACGTTTAGGGCTGAGCCGATGAGGCCACTGCGGAAAAGGCAAACAACCGAACCAAGGAGGGACTCGGCCGAGAGGGGGAAGGGGCCCCCGAGAACAAGCACAGGCCCCCCCCAGCCTTCCTCTGGCCGTGGAAGGCCTGTCCCAGGGAACCAGTGGGGTCTCGGGAAGCCAGGGCCGGGGAGGCAGGAAGGGCCTGGCTCAGCGTCTTCCTGGCGGAGGCCCGCTCTGGCCTCGGTGAAGATGACCCAGGAGATGCCTCCACCTGCGCCAGCCGGCGGCGAGGGGCAGCCTCTCCGGGGAGTGACAAGACAATGTGACAGCGGAGACAGGAACAGGGGCCGGAGGGCCGGGCTGGGTGGCTCTGTTCTCTCCAGAACAATGGCCGGAAAGGCGGTGGGGGGAGAGGCTCGCAGGGACTGGGCCGGGGACCTTGGTGGGAGGGCGGAGGGGTCTGGGTTCTGGCCTGGCTCCAGGCACTTCCCCTCCAGCTCAACCTTCTTTCCCGGCGGGCGGAGGTGGAGGGGTCGCTCCTGACTTAGGCTGGGGCAGAGGATGTGAGCTCAGCGGGCCACCCCCGGCCACTCGGTTTCCTCTGGCCCAGGAGACAGCGAGAAGAGGGAGGGGGGGAGGAGGGCGGGGGCGCGTCCAGAACAATCCTAGGTGATTCTGACGAGCAGCCAAGTGTGGGAGCACAGGCGGAGGGCACGGCTGGCCTCCGCTCCCAGCACAATGGCGGGGTGACCTTGGCTCTCTGGGGGCCAGGCTCCTTATCTGTAAGTGGGTGTAGTGGCAGGGAGTTAAGGGGACCACAAGTTCATGAGCTGTAGGGTCTGCACAATGTCACCTGTAGGCACAGGGCCAAGGGCCTCCCGGGGTGTCCTAGGCCCACTCTGTGCTCACGTCCCTTTGGGGGCTCGGGGAAAGGATTGCTTCCCTGACAGACAGGGAACCCTCCTGCAGCTCAGGAGCCCCGCTGTGAGGTTCCCACCAGCCGCCAGGCCCCACCCCCTGGCCCCCTCTGGACCTCACTTGGAGGCCAACGGCAGCGCCACCAAGGCCTCCTGGGCAGGCTGCCAAAACCAACACAGAGGTGAGGGGAGAAGGGTGAGTGCTCCCACTCCTGGGGCTCCAGGGACCTCTTTAGCACCTTCTCCCCATCGTGCTCACCCTGCACCCGCTTCCCCAGGGCACGGGGACACCCCCACAGCTCCATCTCCCTCTGCTTTGGGGTCTCCGACCTGAACCTCCCTCCTTCTAGCACCCACTGGCAGGGGTGGGTGGGATAAAGAGATGCTTTCATTAGCCAAAGTGGACCCCAGAGGCCCAGCACCCGGGGGACCCTCTCTCCTCCAGCCCAGTGTGGTGGCAGCAGCCAGTCCGCCCCTGCTGGTTCGGGGCTCGAGGGGACAAGTGTAGCGTCCTGGGCCGAGAGCTCGCCCTGAGGCCCAGAGTCTCACAGCAGAGGTTCCCAGGAGACGGGCTCAGGTGTGGCCCCCACAACCCTGTTAGACCAGTGCCCCCGGGCTCTGGGGAAACTCCGGCAGATCAGCGCAGGCCACGTGTCACAGGGACACGGGCGGGGGAGCAGGGGGAAGGGGCTTTAGCACGTGGCTAGGTAGTGCTGGACTCTGCTTTAGGTAGAACCCTGTTTAGAGCCATTTTATGGACGTGCCACTGAAGGAAGACATAGCGCAGGGATGAGCTGGTGGAAGCGGTGCGGAAGGGCGGGGCTCTGTCTGTCAGTCTTTCCCGGCCCATTATCCATTATCGGAAACCGGTGGCCGCAAGAACAATCTGAAAAACCACCTGCTGGAAGAAAACCCCCTGCGCGCGGGCAGGAATTCCGGTTTGTTTCATTCACGGCCGGGGCCCAGGCCTCGGAGCGCGGCCTGGCTGGCACACAATAGGCGCCCCAAACCGTCTGAATGGGCCCGGCTGATTTGGCTCAGGTTCGGCTCCCGGTCAAGGACGCGTTCCCCAGCAGGATGAGCGGGGAGGCAACCAATGGACGTGTCTCTCACGTAGATGTTTCTCTCTCCCCCTCTCCGCCCTCCCTTCCTCCCTCTCTGGAAAGCAACGGGGAACATATCTTCGGGCGAGGAATTAAAAACATATTTCTAACTTGAATGAATGCACTCCAACCTTTTACTTTGCAGGTGAGGAAACAGAGCCCCAGAGAGGTTACGTTAGCTGCCTAAGACACACAGCAAGGGGGCCCTCTCTGGCTCTCACACAAGACAGTTCTCTCTCCCCCTCCCCAGACCCCCGTGACACCCCCTTCCTCCCCCCTCTCTCTGCAACCTGAGCTCTCAGAGGAGGGTCTCCCCTCCCCCATCCAGCACTCACTCGTCTTTGCAGCCTTGACCTTGGCCACCAGCTTCTGCACGCCAGTCACGTCTCCGTTCTTGACGGCGAGGATCAGGTCCTGTTCACGACCCATCCTGGCCCCCCAGGCCGGGCTGTGGGCTCAGACGCCCAGGGGAGCGGCCGGAAACCTGGTCTGCAGCGCCGAGGCGTCAGGGTGCCATGCCGCGGCCCTGCGGGGGGCGCGAGTCAGGTCTCAGGCAGCGGGCTCCTTGTCAGGCACTGACAGGTACTCCCACAAGGTGCTCCGCGAGCTGCCGCCACAGGCAGGAAAGCCGATCTCCGAGGGGGCGGAGGCTGCTCGGAAATCTGGACAGATATCAGCTTGCCGCTTCCGACAGCCCGGGCTGGGCCTGGGCCGGGGCCGGGCGCGCCAATCTTCCCGGCGGCGTGGCTCTGGCTCAGGAGCACCGGTGCCCACCCAGAAGGCCGCCAGCATTCCCTCGGGCAGTGGGCAGCGGCGGCGGGCAGGCAGGTCTCGGGGTTCTGGAAAAGGGTCGGTGTTTTTGCTGAGGGCTAGGCCCGAGCCTGCAAGGATCCCAGAAGCGGGGCTCTGAGGACGAGCAGGTCAGGGCCTCCAGGGAGCCCCCCAACTACGCTGGCTGTCCCAGGAGCCGGGGGTGGGGGGGCTGGCCACTCAAAGCGGGAAGGGAGCTGCCAAGCTTGAGAGGACTCTGGAAGGGGAGAGGTGGCAATCTGCGGGGGGGGGGGGGGGGGGGGCTGAGTCACCGAGGCCCCTGGGCACCTGGCAGCATCTCAACCTGGGCAGGCCGGGCAGCAGCCTGTTCTCCACAGCCCCAGGGGCTGACACCCACGGGCAGCTGCGTGCCAGGAGGTGGGGCAGGGAGGGCCGGGCACAGGCAGACGGGAGGGTCACTCCCTGTGGAAGGTGCCAGCCCCCAGACGCCTCCCTCCCGCCCCACGCTTTACTAAAGCAGCCGGAGGCCTCGCCGCAGGGCTCTTTAGGGCTTCAGAGTAGAGTGGGGAGCTCAGGGCCCCCCGTTTCTGGCAGGGAAGTTTCCCAGCACCTGTTGCTGACCTCTCCTCACGCCTCGTGCAGGCTGGAGAAGCAGCTGGGCACAGAACAGAGACCAGCGCTGGGGCACTGCTGGCAAATGGGGCTGCCCGCCCCCCCCCCCCAAGCCTGAACCTGAGGCCCCGAGCCCCAACTTCACTGCAGAAAAGCTGACGTCAGCTCCTCACGGGCCACGAAATCGCTGCCCCGAGTCCTGCGGCATGACACCGGCATGCCACCCGGGCAGGCCCGGGGCTCCGGCTGCGGACCCCTCGCTCCCCAAAGCGCCCCGAGCCCCATCCAGATGGCACTCCCTCCGAGGGCACTCCCTCCGGGGCCCCGGCCGGCGCGGGGGGAGGCGGCCCTGGCAGCGCCTGGGGTCGGGCGGGCTCCCCCGCCCCCCGGAATGCCCGCCCAGCGCCGCGCAAACCCCCAGCCCCGACCCGGCCCGGCCGACCCGGGAACAAAGCGGCGGGGGGGACGGGCCGGGGCCGGCGCCGGAGCGATGGACGCGGGAGAAGGACGGAGTGGGGAGGCGCGAAGGAGGACGGACGGAAGGAGCCCAGGGACGGCGGCGCCCGCGGATCCCGCAGGAAAAGTTAGTTTGCGCCCGCCCTCCGGGCACGGCCCCCGGCCCGGGCCGCGCAGCCTCACCTCGCCCGGCCGCCCCGCCGGGGGTCCGGGTGGCCCCGCGCGGTCCCTGGCGCTCCGGACGGCGGCTCCCACGGCCCCCGGCGCCCCTTTCTCCTCCTCCTTCCCGAGGCCGCCCGGCGCCTCCCGCAGGAAATCCCGCCCCTCCCCCGTCCCTCCCGCCGGATCGGGAGCGCAGGGACCGTCCCGGCCGCGCTTCGGGCTGTCAGTCAGCGCCCGCGGCCCCGCCCCGCCCCGCGCCAGGCCCCGCCCCCATCTCTCCTGGAGCTGGCGGGTCAGCGCATGCGCCCAGGTGCAGCGGGGGTTGGCGGGGGCGGGGGAGGGGGGAGAGATCGCGTCCCTGAGTTCCAGTTGCGGAGCCGGGGCGACCTGGGGATCGAGTTTTTTAGGCCGAAAGGTGTGCGGTTGGGTGGGACAGAGAGGACGTGACCTGGAGTGAGGAAACCGGGGACCCCACTTGGGGAGCCCCCCTTGGGAAGTCCCCCTTTACTCTTCGCCCCTCCTCGCCCTCCCCGGGACTCCCGCAGTGACCTCCACCCGCCTGCAGAGTCGTCGGTGCACTGGCTGGCCGGAGCAATGGTGCCACCTAGCGGCCCGCATCGGGGCGGCCCGCGGAGGCGGCGGGGTGGACCCCCGCCTCGAGGAGGTGCTAACGGCAGGCTGGGGTGGCGCTTCAGCACCATCTCGGGCCGGACAGCGCCTCCCGCCCCCTCGGGCTCTGGAAACCGGGCTTCCACCCCCTCAGAAGGGACCTAACGGGAGACCCTGAAGGAAACCCGAGCTCAGCCAGCCCGCACCTAACAGCCCCGGCAGCCTTCGGTTTGCGGAGCCGGAGTTGGGGAGCCCACCGCTCTCCCTTCTCTAAAGCCCCTCTTTCCCGTCCTTGTCCGGCCGGATGGCGGGGACTGACGCAGCCCCGGACCGCGGGGAGGAGGAGGGTCACGCCTTTGACTCTGCCCACGCTTTCAGACGCCATGGTCCTCACGTTTTACTAGCGAGGAGCCCCGAGGAGGGCTCGGGGCAGTAGAGGGAAGCGCCTACACATCCCGAAACCTGCGAACCCTCTGCCCCCGTAGTCGGGGCACTCGTTTGCGCTGGGAGCCGAGCTCGCAGGGGAGGCGGGGAGCCGGGGGGGGGGGGGGCGGATCCGGAGACCTCGGGGCGCGGAGATGCGATCCATCGGCGCTAGGGCCGCGCGGAGTCCCTGCGGCGGCGGTGGGCGGAGCCTCTGCGGTGGGCGGTGCCTGGGCGGGGCGCGCGCAGGCGCAGGCGGCGGCCCGATGGAGCCCGAACCAGAACCCGCAACTATCGAGGTGCCTGCGGGGCGCGTGCTCAGGTGCGGCGCGGCCCGGCCCGGGGGACTCGCGGGGCCGTGGGGTGGGCGCGGGGCAGGGGCCGGGGGCTCCGGGCCGGAGCCGGCGTCCCCTGACCCGCGTGTCCTCCTGCCCCAGTGCCCGGGAGCTGCTCGCCGCCCGCGCGCGGCCCCAGAAGCTGCCCCAGCGCGCGCATGGCCCCAAGGACTTCCTCCCCGACGGCTCCGAGGCCCAGGCCGAGCGGCTGCGCCGGTGCCGCGCCGAGCTCTGGCAGCTGCTGGCGGAGGAGCGCGTGGAGCGCCTGTGAGCGGGGCAGGGCGGGCCGGGGGCGGGCTGGGGCGCCCGGGCCGGGCCGGGGGCGGGGTAGGTAGGCTTCCCCGGGAGACCGAGCCCCACGCTTTGCCAGGGGCAGTTTGGTGGCCGCCGAATGGAGACCGGAGGAGGGGTTCGTGGAGCTGCAGACGCCTGCGGTGAGCGGCGGTGCCCGGGGGCGGGGAGCCCCCTCTGTCCCCCTCGCCCCGCTGTGACCTGTGCTGTGTGGGCCCCGCGCAGGGTAAGTTCTGGCAGACCATGGGCTTCTCGGAGCAGGGCCGGCAGCGGCTGCACCCGGAGGAGGCGCTGTATCTGCTGGAGTGTGTGAGTGGGGCCCCGGGACGGTGGGGAAGGGGTTGGGACCGAGGCCCCGGAAGAGCGTGTGCTTTGCTTTTTGGGAGAGAAGGTACACACGGCTGGGTATTCAGGCAGCTTGTGAGCGGACTTCTAGAGCAGGAAGCAGGGATTCCCGCGCTTGTTAGTGTTGCTGCTGCTCCCCACTTCCTGGTTGGCAGTGTCCTTGCTGTGATGCTGGGGGGTGGGGGGGAGGAGGGAGGCGCACAGATATTGGAGTCAGGAAGTGCTCCATTGGCTGTGCCACTGCTGGGAGGGCTTACAAGTTGAGCCGTTGGCCCCACTTCCAGGGCTCCATCCAGCTCTTCCACGAAGACCTGCCCTTGTCTGTCCAGGAGGCCTACCAGCTGCTGCTGTCCGAGGGCACCGTGACTTTCCTGCAGTACCAGGTACCCGCCACCCGGCCACTGAGAGAGTATTTACAAGTACCTGCCAGGTGCTAGCCACAGAGCCACACGCTGGGGCTGTGAGACAGGCAGGGGCTCTGCCGCCATGGCGCTTACCTCCTGGTGGTGGCAAGGAATGGTCAGCATGGAAGGAAAGACGGCCGTCACAGACTGAGGGCAGGAAGAAGACAGAGTGGGGGCGCACAAGGCTGGGGTCACAGTGTGGATATCATGAGCACATGGACGGGATTTATACCTTTTTTAAAAAAATTGGTTTCAGTGAGGAAGGGAGAGGAGGAGAGAGATGGAAACATCAGTGCTGAGAGAGAATCACTGATCAGCTGCCTCCTGCATGTCTGGGGATAGAGCCTGCAAGGTGGGGGGCGGAGGGGGGGGAGGATCGGAACCTGATCTGATTCATGGATCCTGCTCAGCCACGGAGCCACACCAGGGGGCTGTAGGAGTGTGGCCAGAGCTGAGGGCTGCATCTGAGACCCAGGGGACTGCAACATGAGGAGGTCAGGGGTCAGAGGAGAGACCAGGAACGGAGCCTGAAGAGGGTCTAGCAGCGCAGGAGGAAAGCCAGCAGGGGTGGCACAACGTAAGCCGGCAGAGGTCTTGCAAGGAAGGCGTTGTCAGTTACGTTGAAACTGCTGAGAGGTGGAGCACGATGGGGATGTGCCTGCATCCGTCTCTCTGGTGTGGGTCCGGGAAAGGAGGATGAGCGTGTCTGGAGGGCGGAGTGGGGGGGCCACCGTCTGCCCTCTTGTCCATATTGTAGGCAGGAGCTTCACTCTGTCAGCTTTAGTGTCAAAAAGTTTTAGGGCATAATTATGTGCCTGGCCCATCAGCTATCAGCTTTTTGGGATTTGCATTTAAGTCAAGAAACGGCAATGTGTGATTTGTGCCAAGTAAGGTAAGCAGGAGACAGGAATTCGGGGAGTGTGGTCCAGCCAGTTCCCAGGATTGGAATTGGGGGGCGGAGGGGGGCGGTGGCTTCTGTCTGAGAAGCTATGTGGTATTTTATAAAGGACAGAGAACCTTTACTTTTTTCTTTCGAGGTCTTCAGTCACCTGAAGAGACTGGGCTATGTGGTTCGACGGTTCCAGCCAAGGCAAGTCCCTGTTCCATTTCCTCCTGTTTGTTCCAGTCCGGGGGCCTGGGGGACCAGCCCCAGCGTAGGAAGTGGCCTCTGCGGACCTGGGGTCCTTGGCTGGAGCTGCAGCTCCCAGACAGGGCGGGGCCTCTGCTGGAAATGCTCCATTGAGAGGCGTGTGGGGAATCTAGGCCATTGCAGCTTCTCCTGAGTTATCACATTGAGCCCATCTTCAGCCTGCTCCCTCCACAGATGATTGAACACCTGCAGGGAGCATGGAGAGGCAGGAACCGGAACAGAGCTGGGCGCTTAGTAGGTGTGCAAACAGATTTGTTGAGTGCAGGCGTGAGTGAAGGGCCAAGTGAAGAATGAGCAGCTGAGTGGAGTTTAACAAGCTTTTTGCTAGATTAGATGCTCTTTCCTCCTGGGGCCTCTGAAGGTCATCACCTGGGTAATCCATCGTTGCCGAGAGCCACAGAGACCTGGGGCTTAGCCCTTGGGTGTGGCTCTGACCCTGGCCCACTGACTGTGTACTGGGCCAGCCCCTTACAAACTCCACGGGGAGCCCCAGGCTGAGAAGGTGGATCTGCTGCTTGCCTCACTCTCGCCCCACAGCTCCATCCTGTCCCCTTATGAGAGGCAGCTGAAGTTGGCCAGCAGCACCCAGTGCCTGGAGGATGGGACTGGCAAGAGGAAGAGGAGGGGCTCCAGCTCTCGGTAATGCTCCCCACACAGCCACCACCCCGGAGCCCCGAGGGGCAGAGCTGTGAGAGTGCTGGTTTTGGGGCCTGGGAGAACGCATGGGTGGGTTTGAGAGCTGGGCTTGGGCAGCTCCCGTGGGCTCGGAGGCAGTGGGGCACGCCTGGGACGTGTGCACCTTGGCAACCAGGAGCAGACGCGTGCGTTTCCTCCCCTCGACCCTCAGGTCCATTCATAAGAAGTCCAAGACCCTGGAGAACCCCCTACAGGGAGCAGATGGGACACCCAAGAGCCTGGGAACCTCTGTCCCCCCTTCCCTCAGCCAGGACCGCCGGTGCCCGGAGGAGGAACCCCAGGAGGAAAGGCCCGTAAAGGGCCCAGCGGGCCTCTCTCAGCCTTGGGGTTCCCCGGAGCCCGGCCCTGGCCTGGCCAGGGAGGTGGGGGGGTGCGGCCAGGAAGGGGGCAAAGTGGAGAACGGGGTCACGGGGCCTCGAAAGCCGCGCTGGGACTTTGAGCGGATCTCCTTCCCCAACATGGCCGCAGACAGCCGCCACACCCGCCTGCTTGCCCCGGCCCCGGAGCTGCTCCCGGCCAACGTTGCAGGGCGGGAGGCGGACGCCGAGCCCTGGTGCCAGAAGCTGAACCAGCGCAAGGAGAAGCTCTCCCGACGCGAACGGGAGCAGCAGGCAGAGGCCCAGCCGCTGCGGGAGGATGTGAACGCCGACCCCGAGGTGCAGCTCTGCTCCAGCTGGCCGGAGTACAAGCAGCTGCTGCGGAGGCGGCACCTGCAGGCCGCCCAGAGCCGCCCCTGGCACCTGTGGGGCCAGCCCGTCACCCCCCTGCTGAGCCCCAGCCAGGCAGACTCCCCAGGTACCGCCTCCCCCTGCCTTTAGCCCACGGCCCCTGGCAGCTAAGAAACCACAAAGCTTTGAACAGGGCAGGGAGTGCATACGACTGACTGAGGCTTAAGAAAGGCTGCCGGCACCGGTTTGGCTCAATGGATAAAGCATCGGCTTGGGGACCGAAGGGTCCCGGGTTCGATTCTGGTCAAGGGCATATACCTTGGTTGCGGGCATATCCCCAGTAGGGGGTGTGCAAGAGGCGGCTGATCGATGTCTCTCTGTCATCGATGTTTCTAGCTTTCTATCCCTCTCTCTTCCTCTCTGTAAAAAATCAATAAAATATATTAAAAAAAAGAAAAAAAAGAAAGAAAGGCGAGGGCGAGAGCTGTCCGGGAAGTGGCGCTCTCGAGGACAGACTGTTCTGGAAAGCAGCAAAAGGACGCAGGTGGGAAGGTTCAGAGGTGGAGAATCAGTGCCAGAGGGGAAGATGAAAACTATGACCACGTCCTTAGCGTCCTATGCAAGGTTTACTGCCTGCCCCGCAGTGTTAAGAATTAATAGGGCAGTGATTTTCAATCAGTGTGCTGCAAAAATTTTTATTTTAGAAGAAGAAAGATCGATTTGTTTCACTTATTTGTGCATTCATTTTTTTTTAATATATTTTATTGATTTTTTTTTTTTACAGAGAAGAAGGGAGAGGGAGAGAGAATTAGAAACATCCATCAGCTGCCTCCTGCACACCCCCCACTAGGGATGTGCTCGAAACCAAGGTACATGCCCTCGACTGGAATCGAACCTGGGACTTTCCAGTCTGTAGGCTGACGCTCTATCCACTGAGCCAAACCGGTTTCAGCCATTGGTTGATTCTTTTATGTGCGTTAACCAGGGATTGAACCTAAAACCTTGCTGTATTGGGTGGTTGCCCTAGCCAACTGAGCTACCTCGCCAGTGCAAAAAATCTTTAAACGTGCAATATGTGACTAGTCAGGGGCACTGACCTCTTTTCCCTTAGATTGTCAAATAAAAAGTGACAGCTGCCAACACAATAATAGCCATCTGGTATGAATGAATCAAAATTAAGCCTTTTTTGTCAGCTTGGCAAAAGAATGTTGTTTTTTGGTGTGTGGCAGAATTTTAGTAGTTAGTTTAGGTGTGCCATGAGTTGGAAATGTTGAAAATCACTGTAATAGGGCAAGAACAGAATTAACAGATTCAGAAATACTTTCAATGCTTATGGGGACATGGTAGATTAGGGTCGTACGATCAGTTATATTTCAGATAAACAATATGGGACATAGCTACATTTAAAAATCTGCTAAGTCTGGGAACCCTAACTAGATGGCAGATTGAGAAATGTCAGGGGAGTCTGTAGCTGGCTGCGCCCCCCAACAGCTTATGCTCCCTGTCCTTCAGCCTCAGTGCTTCAACTCATCTCTGTGCTGCAGGCGACACACCTTGCTGAGGGGGGTGCCTGGTGAGTTCCCGGATAGGGCCTGTCTCCATGGGTGCCCAGTGATTCCCCGGGTGGGGCCTGTCTCCACGGCACTGTGGCTGCCAGCAGGAGTTGGCAGCTGGGATTTGACTCCTAAAGTTGGGTACAAGCTGGGGGATCATTCCATGGACCCCCCCCCCCAACCTGGCTAATATCCTTGTGTCTAGGGGAGCGGGAGGAGTGGGGGACAAGAGGTGGATTTATCCCCAGGGTTCTATCTGAAATAGGCAGCTGAGCCTCCCCCTGCCCCTCAAGTGGCACTCCACACCAGGACCCCAGCTCCCCTGGGCAGGCTGCTTCCCGGAACCGGTGGTGTGGGAGGAAAAGGGGGAGCGGGAGAGCCCCTAAAGTTTCTCCCTCTGTTCTCAGGCTGCAAGAGAAGCCTGGGAGCTTGGAGATCAGCTTTGATGTTTACCAGGCTGACGCCGTGGCCACGTTCCGGAAGAATAACCCTGGCAAGCCCTGTGCCCGGATGTGCATCAGTGGGTAGGAGACCAGCGAGCACTGCCCCCTGGCCGCTGCGAGTCCTATAAACCCAGGTGGACCTCTTCATGCCCCTGGCCAGTGTGCCGGTGCCTGAAAGGCCCAGAGAGGTTATGTCACTGCACTGAGGCCACACAGCCTGCTGGTGCTGTGGGGACCCACGATTCCCAGCCCCATTCCTGGCATTACAGGTCGTCTCTCCTGTGCCATGTTGGACCTGGGCTCAGGGAGAACCTCCCTCTCCCAGCCGGGACTCTGGTTCCTCTGGCACTTAGCCATGCAGTATGCAGAGAGGAGAGCCCAGGCCCAGACTTCCTGCACCCCCAACTCTTAGTCTCCCTTCCCTGGGAGCCAGAGGGCTGGGATCTGAGAGCCAGTGGATAAGCTGTAGCCAGGTCTCAGCCTGACTTTTATCCCTGCAGATTTGATGAACCAGTCCCAGACCTCTGCACCCTCAAGCGGCTGTCCTACCAGAGCGGGGATGTTCCTCTGGTATTTGCTCTGGTGGACCATGGAGACCTCTCCTTCTACAGCTTCCGGGACTTCACTCTGCCCAGGGACCTGGGACAGTGACCAGCTCCGGCAGGGCCTGGGGCCTGCTTAGAGGGGGGGACTTGGACTATCTCAGCTGCCTCCTACGCTCTGTAGCTGCAGGGCTAGCCTGGGCCTTGGCCCTGGGTACCTGATGCTTGCCGAAGAGCCACGCTGAGCCTCCCACCTGGCTGCTGAAGCGCTTCCGAGCCCCAGGACTGCCTCTGCTGCCTGCAGTGATGTCCTTGGAACTCAGCACAAGATTCTGGAGACCCAGTGAGGTCTGGCAGAGAGGACTCTGTGCCTTGAAACGAGAGGGTGCCTGCTTCCTGCAATAAAGCCAAAAGCCATAGCCATTAAAGGATTAGATCCTTTTTCTCTGTGGCTGGATGTACAAGTCCCCCAGCCCCAGCCCGCTGTCCTTCGAACTGGTCCCCAGGCCTGAGCCTCAGCTTTGCCCACCCTCCGAGAGTGCTTTCTGCTGTGGAGACGAAGTCTGAGACCCCGCACCTGCAGGGAAGTCACGGGCCTCGTCAACTAATCTTTCCGCAAGGTAGCCCAGGGAGGGGCGCGGCACCCCACAGGGCTTTCCCTGAACGCCGCGGGTCCCGGCAGAAGGCTGGCCGAGGGGCGCCATGGCGGTGTGGTTTGAACCCTGGTCGCTCGAATTTGTGCGGTGGAGTCCGCCATACACGGGCCTGGCCCCGCGCCCCTTTCGCTCCCGCCTCTCCTTGCTCCATCCTCCAACCCCCAACCCCCTTCATCGGGCTAAAAACAACCGGCACTGGCGGTCCCTCGGGGCCCGGGCGCCGGCCAGCCCCAGCTGGGTCTCGGAGGGAGGAGGGGAGTTCAGGCTGGGCGCCCGCCCCAGGGGAGGCGCTTGGCGGCGACGCCCCGTCCGCGGGCCACCTCGCTCTCGGGTCCCAAACCTGGCCTTGTCTCCTGGGTCCCCTCTGCTGGGGGTGGAGGAGGAGCCGGCCGGCCCTGCCCTCCCCTCAGCGCCCGGGACGGGGTGGGCGGGCCGGCGCGGAGGCCCGGCCGCCGCGCGTCCCGGAACTACTTCGTCTGGGAGGCGGCGGGACACCGGAGCGGCGCGCACCTCCGGCCGCCAGGTGCGCGCAGGTGAGCGGGGCGGCGCGGCGCCTCGTGCATATTCACGCGGGATGAGGCCCCGCCCCCGCCCCATCCGGGCCGCAGATTGGCCCTGCGCGGGCTCCGCCCCCAGAGAGCTCCGCGCGGCGCCCCGCCCCCCGGCGCCGGGAGGGGGCGGGGCGGGCGGCCTCGGGCTCCGGCTCGGCGGCCGCGGCTCGCCCTTTATGTAAATAGAGCGCCCGCCCCGCCCGCGCGGAGGTGAGCAGGAAGGCGGCAGCCGCCCAGCACCCGTGGGCCCGCGGCGGCGCGAGCCGAGTCGAGAGCGGGCGCTGAGAGACCCGGTCGGAGGCCTCGGCCGGGGGCCGGCCCGGGGTTCCAGGTGAGGCGCGGGCCGGGGCCCCCCAGCCGGGTCCGCCCCCTCGGGGCGCCGGCCGCGCGGGGCGTACAGGCTCCGGAGGGCCAGGACCCGGGCTGGGCGGGCGGGCGGGCGGGGCGGGGAGGGCTGCGCCCAGGTCCGCCTGCCTCTCCCCGGATCCCGTCCCCCCGCCGGTCCGGGCGAAAGACGCCCTAGGAAGTGCCGCCCGGAGTTTTCATAGAATTTGGGTTCAGAGTTTGCACAGTCGTGTTGGCGCTGGGGAGCGGGGAGACAGGTGCCCCGCCCGGCCGAGGGCGAGGGCGAGGGTCGCGGCGAGCGGGGTCCCCGGGTGGGTCCCCAGGGGCCGGGGGTCTGGCCGGTGAGGCCGGCGGCGCGCGTCGCCGGGGCCCCTCTCTCTCCGCGAGCGGCGGCTTAGCCCGGCGCTGCCATCTGGGCCCTTTGTGCCTCCTAATCCCCGGGCGCAGAGAGCCCGCGGGACGGACAGGTCCCGGGCCTCCCTCTGCCCGGGGCCTCGGGCACCTGAGGGGCCAGTGCGGACACCTGGCCGGCTTCCCACGCCGGCGGGGGTGGCGCTGCGCGGTGGGACGCCGGGCTTGGCGAGGAGCGAAAATGTCCGACTTCCCAGAGAAAGTGTGCAAAGTTTGCTCTTGTCTGGCTCTGGCCGGCCGTCGGCAGACACCTTGAGTTCTGGCTGTGGGAGAACCGAGTGTAATCAGAGAGCCCGGTGTGGTCCCCTGAGGCGCTCACCTGACGCAGGTGAGCCCGGAGGGGGAGGCGGGTGGGGCCTCCACTCAGGCCCCTTCCCCTGGGGATCCAGCTGCCAGATGCAGGGAGTCAGCCTGGGCCCAGCTCTAGGGACCCTGTGCAGGTTTACAGCTCAAGGCTGCTGAGGGGTTCGGAAGGGGAAGGGGAAGGGGAAGGGGGGTGTGGGGAGCTGGGAGCAGGTGAGTGTCTGGGAGACAGGAGGCCCCCGCTGGGACATGGCAGCCGCAGCAGAGAGGACCTGTGGCCCGCTCTGGTGAGATGTGGCTTTGGAGGAAGGGTAGGGGAAGGGCCCTGGGAGGTGATCTGTGTTGTATGGGCAGGGGATCCAGACCGGGTTTCCTTAAGTGACCCGTCCACCGTGCCCACCCACAGCAGGCAGCACTCAAACCTGCCTCTGGGGCTCTGACCAGGGCTGGCTCTGACCAGGGCTGGCTCAGAGGTTAACGGGGCCGGTCTCTGTGGGGGCCGCTGGGCAGTGTGTCCAGGGTTTGGGCATGCTGCAGCCCTACTGTCCTCCTCACTGAGGCAATGGACTGTCCCCTTTGGTGGCAGGTTAAGGTAATTTTCATAACTTAGTAACTTCTTTTTAAAAATATATATATTTTATTGATTTCTTTACAGAGAGGAAGGGAGAGGGACAGAGAGTTAGAAACATCGATGAGAGAGAAACATCGATCAGCTGCCTTTTGCACACCCCCCACTGGGGATGTGCCCACAACCAAGGTACATGCCCTTGACCGGAACCGAATCGGGGACCCCTCAGCCAGTAGGCCGACACTCCATCCACTGAGCCAAACCAGTTTCGGCAAACTTAGTAACTTCTTAATTCACAATAGCAGTAAAAGGAAAACACCCATAATTCCCAATGACCCCTATTGGTTTAAAAAGTAAAAAGGTAATGGGTGCCCATCGCGGGGGAGAAGAAACGTTTTAGAAAGTGTAAGAGGGGGAACCGTGTCCCTCTGGCCTCCGTCTTGCCTCGGACATAGTACAGCGTTCATTAAGTGCTTTAGTGTCTCTACGCTCGGGTGTAAGTGTAAATGGTGCCTAGCCAGTGTCTTACTGGGCTGGGCCAGTTAGCCATTCGGCACCGCCGCTGAGCCTGGATTCACGGAGGCTGATGAACGGATGAAAAACGCCACAGACACGGAGCATCAACGCTGTGGTTCCCCGTGGGCTGTGGCAGAGGCCAGGGCCTGCCGGGTTTGCCTGGCGGGTTGTTAGGGAGTCTGGTCTCTCTGTCCAGATTTCAGCCGAGAGCCACTGGAGGCCTGAGCTTTTAGAGTGAGGGCGGGAGCCAGGAGGCAGAGGTGGAGGGCAGTGGCCGGTCCTGACCTTGTTCATAGTCCAGTGGCCGTGGTGGCTCTCCTGCTCGTCGGCGGAGCCAGAAGAGGCCCAACGGCCAGACCCCAGCTGAGAGCCTCTCGGGGAAAGGTGTGTGTGTGTGTGTGTGTGTGTGTGTGTGTGTAGAATCTGATCTGCTCTGCTTTCTGCTCAGGGGAGGGCTCGGCTGTGGACATTCTGCACCCTGTTGGGGGAGGGGAGCACATTCCTGGGCTGCTCTGTTGTCATTGAGGAGATTTTCTGAGCACTCCAGAGTGCTCTCTCTCAACCTTAGTTAGGGAATGCGTTCCTGGCCCAGGACCTCTTCCTGGGAGAAGGTGGTGCATAGAGCTGGAGAGTCCGGGGCCTCTGCCTTCGGTCTGTGATCCCCCCCGTTCTATCCCATTGGAGACAGCATCCTGGTCAACAGTCTCCAGGAGCAATGTGGGCTGCCTTCAGGGTTCCTCAGCCTTCCTGGTCCACCCACAGGTGTTGGGAGCAGCTGCTGAGACACCGGGGTTGGGGAGCAGGGTCGGTGGTCCTCGCTCCTGGGTTAGCTGTTGGGGTGCAGGGTCAGTGGTCCTCGCTCCTGAGTTAGCTGTTGGGGTGCAGGGTCGGTGGTCCTCGCTCCTGGGTTAGCTGCTCTGAGCAGCGTGGGCCACAGGTACTGCTGCCCTTCCCCAGCCCCGGCCCCGGGGCTCCCCGGGCGGCACCCTTCCCTGTGCCGTCACCACAGGGTTTGCCGAGCCCCCTTTGGTGGGACCTTCCCTTCCCGCCCTGCCTCAGGGGAAACTGGTCCTTTGAAAAGTCACCTCACTGCTTCCCCTTCCCGGGAACCACGGCGAATTCTTGAGCTAGGAGAGGCTCTAGGAGAGGCTCCTGGGGTGTGGACACGGGGAAGCTGCTAGGGACCTGACTCTACCCTTCAGGAATTCAGCAGTGACCAGAGCTGCTCTGGAAACACCTGTGCGACCAGGGTTTGATGGAAGGGAGCTCTGGGCGCAGGACTGCTTGACAGGACAAGTAACGATATTGCTGGATTGTCCTTGCCAAGGAGCTGGCTGTCCTGGAGCCTCGGACTGAGGCAGAGCCCACAGAAGTGTCCCCAGCAGGATAGCGGCCATCATGTCCACGTGGCCCAGGCCCAGGCCCGGGACCTGACAATGGGGGGGAAGTTCCCTGAGGGACCCTCTGGTCCCCCAACACGGTGTTCTTTGGGGTTAGTAGCTCCTTGGAGGAGACCTTTGCCTAGTTGGTCCCCATTCAGCCCTGGCTGTTCATTCGTTCGTTCATTCATTCGTTCATTCATTCATCATTCCACAAGCATTTACTGGTACCTCTGTGTGTACAGTGGGATCTAGAAACTGGGCATTAGCCTTCCGGAAGGCAAAGATCTGTTATCACAGGAGTCGAATGCTACAGGGTGGAGAGCTCTGGCGACAGAAGCTGGTGTGAGTAATACATAGTGCGTTAGAGGTGATGTGGG